CAACAACCGCAGCAGCCACAGCAGCAGCATCAGCCGTACTTCAAGCAGCAGCAACAGGTACACCCGCCGCCCTACCCGCCTGAGATAAAATACTGTGACCTCCACAACTTCTCGTCCCACAGCAACGAGGAATGTCGCTTGCAGCGGCGTTGGGGAGGTCCCTCGGGCGGCCAACGTGCGAGCTACGGCGGAAGGCACGGGCCCCAGCATGGGGGCCGGGGTTTTTCTGGAGGAGGACGTCATCAGCAGCAGCCGGCAGGAGGAAGATTCGGGGGGCGTGGCACCGCTTCCGGTGAGAGGGGCAGGGGCCCTTTCCACCAGGGACCGCCGGGCAGCAACCTTCCCGCCTACCCTGTACCGCAGCGGGGCTACGACTACAGCGCCTAGCCCCCCCACATGTACCGCCCGGAGGGAAATGAACCTCCCATCCACCCAGATGACCCTCGCAAGCGGTGTGAGAAATGCGGTGAACTCGGCCACAACCATCTGTTCTGTCCTTCGCGTGTTGATGTCGGAAGGCCAGCTGGCATGCCGGCCGCCAACGCGCCGCCTAGGCCCCCACCGCCCCGGCCGCCGGCCGGTGGCTACAGCCAGCGGCCGCCGTGGGCCCACTCGTACGGGCAGGCCAACACCGCGCAGCAGTACGGCCGAGAAGGGGTAGAGCCAGGAGCAGCAGGAGCGACGGTGGCGACGACGGCTGCACCATCTACGGGGGGGCATGCAGTGACGCACGTGACCGGTGTTTATCAACAACCGGTGACGCACGCGAGCGGTGTGTACGAATACCCACCCCAACAGCAGCAGCCGGAGTACCTATCCCCCCCCTCCCAAGAGCAGCAGCCAGTCCCCGCCCCTTACGCCTCTCCCGCGCATTCGACCGGAGCACCTTCGTCGGCAGGGGGGACATTGCATGCGTGTGTTGTAAGGGACATGTCAAGTGAGTACCAGAGTGAGACTTCGAGCGGATTCGTAGGGGGTGAGGGGTATGCCTTGATGAACTCTATACCGGTTGTGAGGACCGAGCGTGTAGGAGTTGAAGAACGGCTTGCAGACTCCGGTGCAACTAACCACACCACCGGAGACCCCACGAACATGTACGATGTGATCATCCCGCCCCTTGGTAGCGAGAGAGTGCAGATTGGTGATGGCAGGACGATGCGAGTGCTTGGAATCGGATGTTTAATCGTGAGGTTTCATCTTGAAGGTAGAGACGTTTGCGTGAAGCTTACCCAAATACGTCATGTAGAAGGAATGGGATTCAATCTTTTCTCCCTCCACCAAGCACAGGGATT